GATATAGACGTGATGGGCCCTGTCGAGATTTATAATTCGGCACTAAAATTGGCTGTATATCTCGTTACAGGGACAAGTTACGAGCCGGCCCGCCATCTGACCCCAATTGCAACTATGGAATTTAGATTTTCAAAGTTTATAAAACCACAGAATGAGCAAAAAATACAGTTCAAAATGTCAATTAAATTATGCAATTATTCAATTATCTTCAAAAATATTCAGGTCCATCAGGTAAATTGAAAAAAATCGGTTCATTTGGATCAATTTCTGGCCAATTCTCATATTTTCTCTTGTTTCGAACTTCCAGGTTCTCATTTTTCATTGGAAGATAATTAGAAGGACAATTAAAGTCCGAATTTTGATTGATTTCTGAAAATTCAATTAGGTTTTTTGAAAAGTTAATTAATAATAAATTACCTGTTGGCAAGTTTGGATCCTCAAAATATTCCGAAATTTCTGGAAAATTCTGAAAATCCGAATTTTGAAGATGTCGATTTTCAAATTGACTTTGATCCCAAATTTTCACCACAATCGTTTTTTCTTTTTCCTCTTTTTTGAAATTTTGATTTTTGGAATTTCCAGAAAAATCCAGATTATCGGAAACTGAAAAAATACCGTAAACACTCTAATAGAGCGCCACCCGGTCCGTCCACTTTGAGCCTATATATCTCATTTCTTTTGAAAGATTTCAAAAAGTGGTTAGCTGATAAAATGTTTATCATAATATCAGCAACATTTTATTGATTGACAACTTTTTGATATCTTTCACAGAAAATGAGATACAAGGGCTCAAATTTGACGATTCGGGTGACGTTCTATTAGAGTGTTTACGGTACCTGAAAAGTTCTGGAAACTTCTGGAAGTCGATTGGTCTGATTTTTTGAAATTCTGGGATTCAGAATTCAAAAATTGAAGGTTCTGAAGAAGTCCGAATCCTCCAAAATTTTGAGATTTTTGAATAAAATTTTCATTTTGAACTGGAAAAATTGGATTTTCAGTTCTCCGATTTTTCATCTTTAATTCCAGATTTTTGGCGATTTGGCGCTTCTGAAAATTTCTTTTTTAAAAATTCTAAAATTCTAAAATTCTAGAAATCTAAATTCTAAAATTCTAAAATTCTTAGACTTTTCAAGTTTTCAAAACTCTGAAATTCTTAAAATTCCAAAATTTTCAAAAAAATTATTTTCGTAAGTTCCAATTTTCTGGATTTTGGATTTTTCCAAATTTTTTCAATTTTAATAATGTTAAATTTCAAAATTTTAATTTTTGACATTTCGAAATTTTGCTCACTTCTTTTTGATCCTCTTTAATCTCCTCATATTCTTCAATATATGGAATTTTGTCCTCCTCCGTCATTTTCCTCCAAATCTCATTCAATTTTCTCACAACGTCTTCTGAATTCCTCTCCAAATTTTTTTCTCGAATCTTCTCAAAATTCTTCTGAATCCAAACCTCATACGGATTCTTGGGATTCTTCGGTATCCAAATTTCCCTCTCCTTTTTTTCGATTTTCAAAATTCTCGATTTCTGATTATAGATTTCTTTTTGCTCCTGACTTATTCGATATCTCCAATAGCTTTTTTGTTTATTTTGAATCTCGAATTCTCGCAAAAATTTGTACTCCTCGTGGAAGACGTCGCTGGTCTCTTGTGCCCAGATTTTGAATCCAGACGACATTTTGAGGGCTGGAAATGGCTGAAAATTGGGATTTTTTGAAAAGAAAATTGGAAAAATCTAAAAATGCTGGCTGAAAAATGACTCTAAAAGTTGAAAAAAAATCAATTTTGCAAAAAAATGCGGGCAAAAAAATTTTTAAAAAAATTGATCTACCAAAAATTTCAATTTTTTTTCCAAAAATCGAAACAATGATGCATCCACTTAGATTTTTTGAATTATCTCGAGTTCTGGACATCTTAGAACAAAACTAAAACCATATTCAGAATCAGCACAAAATTCTACATCGAAATGACCTACTTGACATTTTGGCTCAACTGGGTAGAGGGATGGCTAGCGATCTAGAGTCCAAGAGTTCAAACCCGCGCGGGGCAAAACTTTTTTGATTTGTTTTCGAACATTTTTTTGGTATTCTAAGGGTACTGGATGATCCAAAAATTATTTTGAAAGAATTGGGGGGGGGGGGAGGAGGGGTACTGTAGAGTAGAAAATTCGAAAAAACTGACCTTTTCCATTGTTTGCTTTGCTTCCCTTTTCTACAAAATCCAATAAATTTCTCTAACCACTCCCCTTATTTTCCACACACTCTCACTTTTTCTTCCCCTATTAATCATTCCAATAAGTTGCCCTTTGCTCCTCCCATAATTAGAGACCATGACAAACAAGGAGAGCGTTAGAGAAATCAAACTCTGCGTGTCCGAATCTCTCGGCTTCTGTGAAATTTTGGAATTTTTAGTTTTTTCTCTTTTTTCAGCTGTAACTAGGCTGAAAATTGAGATTTTTGAAAAATTCAAACTTAAGAGTGTGGAACTTTTAAATAGCTACATTTTGATATTAAATACAGTAATCTTAAACTTCCAGAAACTTCAGAAAATTTCGATTTTCAATTTTCAGATTTCCACAATGAGCAACACCGAGATTTTCAACTGCAAAGCGTGCTCCAAGTCTTTCGCCTCCAAAAAAGGTAAATTTAAATTTTTTAAGGTCCTAATTATAGTTCGTAGTCTAGCAGACCCATTTCGAACATTGGTCTGCTAAATAGAAAAGTGTAGTTTGTAGTCTAGCAGACCTATTTTTCTTCTTGCTTTTTTTCTAGTGGGCATTGACCGTTTTGAATTTTGAAAAGAAAAGCTTTCCAGGATAATTTTTGACGAGGATTCCGAATTTGACATTAATTTTCCAATAACACAACATCTTTCACTGAAAACGTCTTCTAAGTCCTTCCAACTTAAATTTAAGGATTTTTTTTGGAATTTTCTCAATTTCCAGGTCTTAATCAACACTCTTCGATCCACTCCTCTGATGGACCAGCATTTCAATGTGAATTTTGCTCAAAAACTTTCAAATACAAATCCAATTTGTATGAGCATCTATCGGTTCACACTGTCTCGGAACCATATTCTTGTCCATATTGTGATAAAAAGACAAAGTACGTTTTTTTTTGAATTATCTGAATTTCTAGTAGAGACAGATTAAAATAGGTACAAGATAAAATATAAACAATTAAGTTTTACACATTTTACTAGTTGACCAGTTTTTGATAGCATTTTTGGAAACCGAGATAATTGGAATCAAAATTCTGGAAAACATTTTTTGAGCTATCCTTTTTCTAACGTCCTTTATCTCCAAATAATGCATTGCTATCAAAAAATTATCAGCTGTTTAAATATGTAAAATTATATTTTACACATTTTACAATTCACCAATTTTCGGTAAGGTAATTAGAAATAAAGATAATTAAAGCAAAATTTTCAGACTCAAGGGAAATTTCAAAAAGCACTTGGCCACTCACTTTACTGATAAATCGCTATTGGATGAAGTTTGGGCACCGTATGCTTCGCACAAAAAGTATGAAAAGTGTGGAAATCGAAGATCTGAAGTACCTAAACATAAAGAACATCAATCTACAGTACCCCAAAACGTTTTCCATCAACCATCCAATTTTCATCTTTACCAAAATTTCCATGACCCATGTATCAATACAATTGGAAAACTGATTGATAGTGTGAAATCAATTGAATTGGAAAGGTTCGTTTTTTTTAAATTGAACATTGTAACCCGAAAATTCAAATTTCGCGCGTCGACTTGTCCACGAGGAGTACAAAACACGAATTCTTCAATTTTTTTTGTTCAAATATGCACTTTTTGTGATTCCTAGCGATTTTACACCAAACAATCAAGTTCAAGCTGTTTTGTAACTCAAAAATTCAAATTTCGCACGTCAACTTGTCCACGAGGAGTACAAAATCCAAGATTATTCAAAATCGTCGATTGGTCAAATTTCAATAATTTTAAAGCATTTATTCACATTTACAGTACAAAACCGGTCTAAAAAGGGATGTCTTTCACGAAATCGGGAAAAAGAAATTTTAAAAAAATTCTGTGAATGCAAAGTTTTCGATCTGGGTCTGTTTTATATCCTCCGAAATTTTCAAAGTGATTGGAAACTTGACAGCCGAGCTCCAGACTCCTAAAAAGGACCTCAGAATTCAATCTTTCCAGATACCACTGCTCAATTTGCTGCTACGAGTTTGCCAGGAAAGCCGATTGCATCTTTCATTATCAATATTTCCATCCGAATCTTCAAATGGAATTATTTTGTCACATTTGCCTCCGAACCTTTCCAAATCAAGAAGAATTCCAGAAGCACGTCGAGTATCATCGGACTACCTCAAGGGTTTTGCAGAATTCTGTGAGTTTTTAGGATTTGTTTGTAAAACCTGTAATAGAAGGGTCCCCTAACTTTAAAGTTTGAGTTAATTTATCTTGGTTCCTGTTGGAAATATGAAACAGTTTTCAACTAATAAATTGTTCATTATAATATCAGAAGCATTTTATCAGTTGTCACATTTTTTTTATATCTTTCACAGGAATTGAAATAATTGAGCTCAAACTTGACAGTGTGGGCGCCTTTCGGTTTTACGGCGTATTAATTTTCAGCGTACCATAACCTCGCCAAAATTCTATATACCAACTGGAGAGGAGATTCTAACGGCACTGAATTCCGGATGGCATCAACAACCGGCTACTTATTTTTAATTTCAATTTCAATTTCTCCGTTTCTTCATTTTGAGTTTTTGTGATTTTCAATTTTCCAATGCTCCATTCTGATAATTTTGGGTTTTTCTTATTAATTTTCGTATTTATCTTTTATTTTTCGTTTATCAATAAGTGAAAATAAGGGGACCCATAATGCAAGCAAAAAATTAGGACAACATATTAGAATCCAAAATAATTTTCGAATTTTCTGGAAATTCACACATCGCAGTCATCAATTGTTGCCAATTTTGAATTCGTTCCTTGATTTTTGGCTTTTCCCAATTTCTGCATGGATTTGGGTCCATCCGGACAGTGATAGAGGTAATTGCTGTTGGAAGAACCTAACAAATAATAATTCAAAAAAAATTTTTTCGAAATTTTTTTTTTGAAAATTTCCAAAAATCCTTTTTCCATAACTCAGAATAGTTTCAAATTTATGCTTTTAAGGTCCACACAAAAATCAAAAGAATTCGATCCCAAGAAGAATAGAACCCTTGGCCTTGTGGACCTTAAATTTTCATGGAAAATCCCACTGAGCCATTTGGCACACTTTTTTGAAAGAATCGTTTTGGTCTGTTTTTGATGGTTAAGATGTGTTTTAGATGCCAAAAAAAAGTGAATTTCACGTGTTAAAGCACCAAAATTTCGGTTTTTCAGGAATTCAAAAAAAATGAAAATTTTTCAATGAAGTTTTTTTTGAAAAATTCCAAAAATCTACTTTCTATACCTCAAACTAGTATTAAAGTAATATTTTTAAGGTCCACACAAAAATCAAAAAAAATTTGATACCTTAGAGAATTGAACCCCTGGCCTTGTGGACCTTATTTTTCATTGGAAAACCCCATTGAGCCATATGACACACTTTTTAAAAATGTCGTTTTGGACCGTTTTTGATGGTTTTAGACACCAAAAAAGTGAATTTTTGAAGTTTCAGAAATTTTAAATTTTATAAAAAATATCAAAATTCATCATTTCGAAGTTAGAAAAAAGAGATTCTGGGTCATTTTTTTGAGTTGAAAATGAAAATTTAACTAATTTTTTACCTTTAAAATTTTTAAAGCATGTTCTGTATTCAGCGAATGACACAGAAAATGCGCTCCATTGGACACTTCTCCTCGAATCTCCACACATTCCCAGTACCCATCGGATTCCATTTTTTCAATACCGTAATCCTCCAACTCCACATGGATTTCAAAAATCTCATCTTGAAAAATTTTGAATAATTGGCAAAAGGCCAAATTCTTATGGTAGAGAGTGAGAACGCCTTCCCAGATGTTGAGGGTCTGAAACTTTGAAATTTTTGTTAAATTTCAAAATAACAGTAATTCCTAAAATTCTAAAATTTCTGAAACTCTAAAATTCTAAAATTCTAAAATTCTAAAGTTTCTAAAAATCCTAAAATTTTCAGTTTTTTTTTTGGAATTTTTGGAAAATTTCAAAACTACAGTAATCCTTGCCTTCCCACGTATTTCGTACCATCCTCTCATGCTGGACATCTTTTTAAATTGTTCCAGAAATTTAGAAAAAAATAATTTTTTGGTTAAAAAATTGGCAACAAAAAATTTTTATGTGATTGAGAAATCCAATAAAATCAGATCCAATGGGAAATCTCTCTTTTTGAGAAAGTGTAACAATCAAAAAAGCGAGAGAGTATGAGATTTGAGGAGAGTGGTTAGAGAAAATGAGTCTCGGTGGTCTTGGGGAGAGTGATATATTGGTTGTTTTTTAGACAGAGGAATAAGTAAAAAGAAGTAAAAATTGAGCAATTTTTGAGTGGTGTAGACCAATTGTCAAGTGGTTTACGAGTAGAAAATACACAGAGAAATGGAACATTTCGTTTATTTGGGTCGCGAATAAGATTTATCAGAAAATATGCGATTTTGAGAGGTTCCAATTCAAGAAACACAAATTTTAGATTTTTGGACTTTTTGAATTTCAGGATTTTTTTAAATTTTTGAGCTTTGGGATTTTAAAATTTCAGAATGTTTTAATTTTTGAATTTTGCAACTTTTCAACTTTTCAATTTTAGGAGTTTCAGAATTTTAGGAATTTGTGAAATTTCAACTTTCGAATTTTTCTATTTTCACTAGTACTGATTTTACAAAATTTTGAAATTTTCTGTGAATTCAAAAATTTAATAATTCTCGAATTCTCTAAAAATCTCAAAAATCCAAAATTTTAAAATTTTTTCCGAAATTCTCCAAATTGCAACATTTTCAAAATTCTAAAAAGAAAAAATTCTGAAAAATTTCAAAACTTTAAAATTCCAATATTAAATCAATAATTTCAGATTTGTCGAATTGTTTTGCATTGAGCCCTAATTATGGTTCTTTGTCAAAAATCGACAAATTGACTCAGAACCATTGAATCGAAAAAAAGAGTTTAAACAATTTTATTCCACTGAAAACAGAAAAATAATTTTCAATCTTTTCTACCGGGGAAATGACAAAAGTATCCATCTGCGACGTCTTCAGCACTGAAAATAATTGAAATTTTCTTTAAGAACATAGGTTGATATTTACGTTCGAACACTAAGAACAGCATTGACATTTGACCGAAGATCGATCACCGAGTACAAACTGGAATTCGTTTTTAATTGGATCAAGCCATAGGACATTATCTTACCCTGGACCATCTAAAATGTTTCCCGACATCTTTGAAACAGGATTATCACCGAATTCCAGATGTGGAAGAGTCCATTCCCAGTCCTGATTCAGAGATATTGAATCAATAATTTCTGCTTCTTGCCATAATAACTTACACTGTTTTCATCTGGTCTGGTATATCCCACAAAGTAAAAGCCACTGACTTTGAAAACGGCTTCTTTAGCCGTTATCATTTTTTGAAGTGCATCCTGATTCGGTAGAGTCATTAGACCATCACCACCAATAGTTTCACATCGTTCAACCGCTAGACTGTATTTAACAGGCTCTCCGAAAAACTAGAATTCAAGTTTGATGTTTACTTTTAGCTTGTGATCAAAAGCTCACCCCATAACATCCACCAACATTATCAAGAGTGAAAACGTAATCGCCTTCACATGTTGTTTTGTTAAGGTACTCCAAAATTCAATAGATGTGTGTAAGCCAGTCGTTGTTAATGCGTAAGACGAGAAACTTGTAAAATACCCAAAGTTCTGAAAACATACATTACTATGGAAAATTGGCAATTTGGGTGGTTCTCCATAACTTACAGATTCCTGACTACCACTAAACAGAGAAGTGTAAGTTCCAGGGCATGTTGAGCTTGAGAATTTCAACGTTATGTAGAAATAATCACCAGACACAGGATAAGGACCAAGATCTTCAATGCGTTCAAACGATTCGAGTTCATTCAATTTATACATAGAACAGTTCTGTGGAAATTCCATATCGAGGGTACCATCCATACTACCCATACTGGCACCATCCATATGAGCACCAGCGCACCAATTCGTTAAGAAGCACTGAAGGACACAGTTGTATTAAGTTCTTGCTGTTGCATGAACAAGTTTGACGAACTTGATATTTCCTCCGCGGAATATCATCATTGTTTTATCGCAATCCTGAAATGCATACTTGTTATCCGGGCCTTTTCCGGGCCTTCGCGGGCCCTGCCATAATTTTTTTCAGA